CTAGGGAAGGTACATCGGAGTGAGAGGGTCCCCTCGGATGTCGAGGGACTCAAGAGCTTGAAGGAAGGGGCGAACCATCCAACTCAGAAAGATGGGCCATAGGTCTTGCCAAGATCGTGCGCGGAGGCTGGACGAAGTGATGCGTTCTCGACAGTAAGATCTCCGATTGGCAAGCCCATCTCGGGAACACGCAATTTATGGCTCTGTCGCCATCTGCTCTCGACGCGAAGGTTGCATATTCAATGAACGTGTCGAACGTGGTTGCGCTGACTGCTTGCCGAGTCGCGCGTTCAAAGCTTGAGGCCACCCATGGAAGGCCGGCTCTGAGAATAATGTGCAACGTATGCCAAAGGCAATGGAACACGCTACTATGAAACATATTTCATCGCCGCGCCAGTCGCAGAATCAAACCGTCCGCGGGCGAAAATGTGATACCATGGGCACCGCTGTACTGGTTCGGGATAGCCCCCGGAATGGCATACAATCCAATTCTACACGCCGCAATTGGCAGCTATTTGCGGCACAAGCCATGCAACATCAGCGAAGTATGTAACACATGACTGATGCATCATGTAACCAAGAAACGGTTGCACACAAGAGCATGCTCGTCACACGGGTACGACTGAATAATTACTCGGATTGTAACTACGTGGGCAATGAGGACATCATGGCAATGTCAGCACCAGAAACAGCCGACGATAGTTCGGATGCAACATGATCTCCATCTCCAAGCTTCGCACTTGGCAGTCCAGCAAAACAGGGCGTCGTGCATCCTTAGATGGATGAGGATATGAAGCAATCCAAAGACATGAACTCACATATGCAGCGACATCTAGTCAGCAAGGCGATGTATACATGCGAGGAGGAAGCGGACGATTCAAGGGCACGCAGCTGTACACACTAAGAAAGCTCAAGCTATAAACGAATTCTAATCAGTAACTCGCAATCGACGTGCTGCCTATTCAGCCGGATCGCGTGGCGAAACAGGACTAGGAACGCAAGAGAAGGAGGATGGCAGGAGGGGAAGGAGGGTGGGTACAAACCGAACATCAAGAAATACGAGACGCGTTGAAGCCAAACTGAACCAACGCGAACATAACATCAAAATCACCGAACTGAAAAAACAACCTCGCAACCCAATCCTTAACCGGACCAAGCCGGGCGCAGCATCCATCGGGACTGCAGGCAATGAGCTCGCCATCGGCAGAACGGATTAATCGTCGGGGCAGTACCTTTTCCGATGCACTAGGATGGCAGCAACTGGCTCGATGTCGGCAAGACGTGTCTGCCGCAACGAGCACGCGTTCGGAAATCTGTTTCGCCGGTGGTGTCGTCGCTGCCACATCTCATAGTGGCCAGCTGTCATGAAACGAGCCACCCTGCTGCTGGTAATTACACACCTCGGCACGGGGCAACTCTCGCGTGGTTATCCTTCGGTCGCATGCTTCGCTGCGAATGGTGGGCTGATCCGCGAAGGAGATCTAGACGCCCCCACCCCTCCTCCACCTCCGGTTCCTCCCCTCTCCTTTTCTGACTGAAGTTCTTGCCCAGCCATAGCACGTGAAGAACCCAGCCACTGCGCAAAGCGTAGGCACGACTGCGAACGCGCCGTAGGGGCTCCACTTGGGGAACAAAGTGCGTGGAGGGTGTGCCCAAATCGGCGTCAGTCCGACTGCGGACGCACCTGCTGGGGACGTGCCAACGGGCTATGTAGTTCACAGAAGAAGAAAAACACTATGATTAAGTCGGGCCTGTCCCCCTACAGGGGGATTTTGGACGATACATAAAAATTACCCAAAACATACTCCAAATGGTCAAACAATGCTCAACAAATCGTCCCCGGACTATGTTTTTACTATTTTTTAATTTTCCCCCTGTAGAGGGACGGGCCCGACTTAAGTGTAGTTCACAGAAGAAGAAGAAGAGTCATAAGAATAATAATAAGAAAACGAATAATACTAATAGTAGTAATAATAAGAATAGTATTAAGCATAATAATAACAATACTAATAATACTAATACTAAGGCTAATACTACTACTAATAATAATCATCATAATCATAATATCTATAATATTAATAATACTACTGCTATTAATAGTAATAAATAATAATAACAATACTAATAATAATAAGAACAAGAAGCACATCGCAATAAACATAAGCTTTTGGCGCTCCGCGCGGACTTCTGTTGGATCCGTGCTGGACCCCTCCTCCCTGGCGCGCGGAGCGCGCGTCAAGGGGCGGCGCGGGAGGCGCCGCCGGGGGGGGGGGATCCAGCGCAGGTCCGAGAAAATCGCGCGGAGCGCCAACAGTTTATGTTCATAACGTTTTTTGAAGGGGCCCTGGGACACACAAACAAATACACACAAATAACAGGATGCCCCTATATTTCCCCATATTTTCTGGGTTTTTGTCTTCTCCCCCACTTCCCATTTTTTCTACATTTTCTAGGGAATCGACGAATAATTGTGTCTATGTGTTTTTTCCCCTCCTGAGTTTTTCCTTCTTCGAGTTCAGACGCACTGCTGGATGCGATTTGTACGAACGGGGGACCGCGGGCGCGCCCAGTGACGCCGTGGTCGGGGTTCCCTGTCCACGAAGGGCGCACGGGTGCACCAGAACAGGGTGTGCGACTGCGGGCGCGTCCGCTGGCGCCGCGACTGGGCTTCTCTCTGGGCCGCCGAGCTCGCAAGGGGTACGCGCCACAACAGAAGGGCAGGCGAAAGCGAGCGCGCCCACTGGTGCCGTAATTCGTGTTAGGTCGGGCATGTCCTCCTACAGGCGGACTTTGGAAGAAACCGAGACACAGCCAAAACATACCCAAAGATGATTAAACATAGGCGAAACATCGTCCCCAGAGTATTTTTATACTCTTCTTGAACATTCCTCCTGTAGAGGGACATGCTCGACTTAAAGCTTAGTGCTGTCTTTGGGGCGCGAGACTTGTGCCTGCTTGGTCGCTCGCCTGCCAGGCCTCTTCTGCTGGTCGCGGTGCCTCTTCGGTGTGCCGCCTGGCGCCCCACCCCCGTCCACCGCCCCTCTGCCTCCCCCAGCTCGCTTCCTTGGCCCTCTCTCTCGTTTCCCTTTGCGTACTCTTGGGCTTGGATCAGTTGCAGTAGGGGTCCGACCACAAGAAACCTTACACAAGAAACCCAACCCTGAGACCCCAGGACGTTCATTGATTTTTGGTGTGGGAACGTCACGCTCTCCACAGCAAAACCATCGAACCCAAGAAACCCAGGGCACCCTGGAGGCAAGCATGGTGCTTCTTGGCATGGGTCTCTCCACTGTAGCTCTGAACGGAACTGTTTTTGCTGTGTGTGGGCGGTTGCTCTTCACCGCCGCGCTGGGGAGGAGCACCGCGTGTGTACGTGTGTGGGGGGGGGGCAAGACGAACCTGCTCCTTCCCTCCTCCTGCGGTGCTTTCCTCTCGTCGCCTTCGAGGACGGGCCACTCAGGCCTCGTGCGACCTTGCTCCCGGCTCCCGTCAACCAGTATCCGCTGCCTGCCCGTTGCACGATCACTGCGACCGAGGCGGCGGCTGCCCGCTGCGTTGTCGCGGCGCGCGTGGGGCCCCTGCCTGCCCTCCTGGTGCGCCGGGCCACGGCAGGCCCCCTCAGCACGCCCGCTCGGCCACACGCAGGAGAGAGAGAGCCTTGGCAGGAGTGACCTCCGGTGCGCCGCTTTCGGGGGCCGAGGGGGTGCGACGTCTCAGCGCGCAGGCCATTGTCATAGGGGGACCCCTGCGGGAGCGCACCAAAACGAGAATGTCACTCCAGCGAACGGTCACTCTCATCGGGGGGTCCCAAAGCCGTGTGGTGACAGACCGCGCGGTGATCTCGGACCCCCAGGAGGCCTCACCGCATGGTCCGTGGCCACACGGTCTTGAGGCCCTGGAGGCCCCGGTCGCCCGACACGTCCTCGGAGAGAGACCCGAGCGCCAAGACCGTGTGGCGACCCCGGATCCCCACCGACTCACCACACGGCGTGGCCACCCTGCCGCCTGGGGGCCCCCGACCCTTGATGCAGCCGAGCCCGCCCCTGGGTGCGATGAGCGCTGGCCGCCAGGGCTGCCGCCTCGTGCAGGCAGAACGCCGCTCTCGCTCTCCGCCGGGGGGGAGCGCCTGCCAGAGTCGCCGCGCGCTTGGTCGCCGAGTAAAGTGCGCGTGTGTGTGTGTGTGTGTGTGTGCGTGTGTGTCGGCCACCGGCAGAACTTCCGATGGGCGCGGCGAAGACGAAGCATGCGCAGCGCTGACGCAACACTGCCGCTTCCACTGACAAGCTGCGCGGCACCTGGGCGAGGACGACACGCCGCCCGCCCTCGCACGGCCCCGCTGCCGCTGCCGCCTGCGCGCGGTTCGGCGAACGAGCCATGCGCGCCGAGCCCACGCGGCACACCACCTCGGAGCGACATGCGCGCGGACCACGGGCGAGGGCGGCAAGTCGCGCCCGCCCACGCGGGCGCCCCCCTCCGAATGGGCGAGAGACGAGCGCGCACCGCGGCGAGACGGGCAGCCACTTTCAGGCGAAGTCTGCGCGGCGCCGAGGCGAGAGGCCCGCTCGCGAGTCGACGAGGGGGCGTGCGAAACATGTGCGCCGCGCCCCCAGCGGGAAGTCAGTTATTCCCTCGGAACACGAGTGCGGCGCCAAGGCGAGAGCGACATTCCGGCCTTTTCTGCGCGGGATGCGCGCCCCGCCTCCTTCCTGCCGCGCGTTCGCACTTTTGCATCGTGCACGGCATCATTTTCATGTTGAGGCGGAAATTCGTCGACTTTGCATGGTTCTTTCACCGTAAAATGTTCTAGCCCGAGTTGGGCCGTTTTTGGCCGGCTAGGTGGCAGAGTAGGCGTATATACAAGTAAGGAACATGGAGAAGAGGAGGAGAAAGAGGCGGAGGAAGAGGATGAGGATGAGGACGAGGCGGAGGAGGAGGAGGAGAAAGAGGCGGAAGAAGAGGATGAGGATGAGGACGAAGCGGAGGAGGAGGAGGAGGAAGAAGAGGAGGATGAGGACGAGGAGGAAGGAGGAACATGGAAACCACAATGCTCGATTCAAAACGAGAACCCAACCAGAGGGAGGGTTGGGATAAACAACGAGCCAAAGACAACGGCACTGCACGACCAGCGCCCCTTGTTAAGGGGCGCCACGTGCAAATACTAGCTCTCGGATGGCAGATCGGACCTACTCACCCTCCTGTAACCGAATGAAAGCAAGCCTCTCCTGACAGATTGGTGATCAGGCCGCAGTTCGAATCCTCGTCGTCGCGCAACCTTCGTGGGGCAACAAATGACGACCTGGACCTGAGACTTTGTTAAACCAGCCCTGGGCGCTGCAACTCTACGCATGTGTCGACCTAGTGCCTACACCCTGAGGCGGGACCATATTCGCCCGAACATATAATTAGGCGGAAAGAGAATCTCTAGCCTATGTCACTTTGTGTTTTCTGTATAAAAGCAGAGCCACTTGCTATTCGGTAGCGACGGCGATAACGATGCTGAGGATGATTATGATCAGTGGCGACGACGATATAATGCTCCACTGCAGGATGGGCCGCACAATATTTATCGCAGCAAAACACCCTAACAACAGCAGAAGTGAGAAGGCGGCAGGAGGAGTAGAAAGTCGGCTACGGGGGGCACGCGTGAGAGCGCGGCCATGAGCACTTTAGTATTTTTTTTTTGGGGGGGGGGGGAATTTCAAGAAAAAGGGGGTCGTGGCCGCTTGAACCAATAACATAGCCCGCATCGAAACCAGAACACGGTTCCTGAAGTACCTGAAACGTGACCAACCTTTTGTGCTCTCGAAGCCAGGATTTATATTAACTCTCTGCACAACAAAACAATTTGCGATGCATGCAGCAGTCCGAAATGTTGCGGCAAATGTTGTTGGTCCACGCGCGTCGCGCACCCGCGCGTCTTGGATAGCAAAAGGAATTACGCAACCTTGACTGCGCAACAGTGCGGCGTCGACAAACACGACGATGAGCATGTAACGGGAGGCCGAAGTAAAAGGGGGGAAAAAGGACAAGGGAGACAAGGAGGATGGAAAACAAGGGGGGTCATTACTGGTGAAAATAATGGCGCCATGCGCTCCATCTGCTCGGTGGGGGTGACGGGCGCCTGGGGATAGGGGGGTGCTGGAGGCAGCGCCATGGGATACGTGAAGCTCCAGCGCTCTGCGCTTTCCGATGCAACAGCGCCGCGCGCTGAATGCTGGGTCAGCGCCGGGCGTCATGTGAGCGCGCCCTCTTGCATATTCGGCTGGCCGTCGCCCGTTGCAAGCGCCGCCGGCGACACCGTCAGAGTAGCAGCCAACGCGCACGCTCGCCTGGGACCCGCTTGCGGTTCTCCTCCCTTCAGTCGCGCAGGAACTTGGCAAGGCCGAAGGCGCGCGCCATCTCCATGGACTGCTTCCTACAGTGCTCCGCGCGGGCGCGGAAAGTCCGAAGGCGCGCTGCCCGTTCCGGTGGCGGCCCCCGGGACAAGACATCCAAGCCTGGGGCGCGGATGATCAACAGGTTGTGGGACGTCGTCGCTGTGCAAAAGCATGACGTGCAGTGCAGCCAAGGGGCATCGAAGTCATCGGCGTCTTTATGTCTGGCGTCAGCGATGACGCCCAGGTGCGTGGTCCGTCCCAGGCAAGCCGTCGACGTCAGCCCTTTGACGTGGGAGATTTGCAAGCCAATCCGCATGACCTTGTGCTTGCGGAAGTCGAGTAGGGTGGGCGTCTGCGGCTCGTTGAAGGCGAGCCTCGCCGCGTCCAAGACGTGGGCCCCTCCGCGTGCTCTGACGTGGAAAAGGGCGGCCTTGTACTTGTCCGTGTGGACCCTCACGCTTCTGCGTGACCCTCACCTCCGCCGTGCCCCCCAGGAACCAACGAAAACGGCGACAATTGCGCACTTCGCAGCCCCCGAGGGAGCCGCGAGGTCTCACATGGATCTGCGTGGCTCTCACCTCCGCCGTGCTTTCTGGGAGCCCACGAAAATGATGTCAGTTGCACACTTCGCAACGCTCGAGGGAGCCGCGAGGTTTCAAATGGATTCCGTGCCTCCCAGGAGCCCCCGAACGTGGCGACCATTGCGCACTTCGCAGCCCACGAGGAAGCCGCGAGGTCTCAAAATAGATCTGCGTGGCCCTCACCTTCGCCGTGCCCCGGAGGAGCGCACGAGATTGGCGACAATCGCGCACTTCGCAGCCCCCGAGGAAGCCGCGAGGTCACAAAACGGATCTGCGTGGCCATCACCTCCGCCGTGCCTTCCAGGAGCCCGCGAGAGAGGCGAGAGTTGCGCACTTCGCAGCCCCTGAGGGAGCGGCGAGCTCCTAAATGAATCTGCGTGGCTCTCACCTCCGCCGTGCCTCCCGGGAACCATCGAAAATGGCGTCAGTTGCGCACTTCGCACCCCCCCAGGGAGCTGCGAGGTCCCAAATGGATCTGCGTGGCCATCACCTCCGCCGTGCCTCCCAGAAGCCCACGAGAGTGGAGACAATTGCGCACTTCTCAGCCCCCGAGGAAGCCGAGAGGTCTCCAAATAAATCTGCGTGGCCGTCACCTCCGCCGTGCCCTGGAGGAGCGCACGAGACTGGCGACAGTTGCGCACTTCGCAGCCCCCGAGGGAGCCGCGAGGTCTCAAAACGGATCTGCGTGGCCCTCACCACCGCCGTGCCTCCCAGGAGCCCAGGAGAGAGGCGAGAGTTGCGCACTTCGCAGCCCCCGAGGGAGCGCAAAGGATGCAGGAAGAGGTAAGGCGGAGGAGGAGGCAGGAAGGGGGAGGAGGCGGGAGGAGACGCGCAAGGAGAACTCTGTTCTACACGAACGAGAGCCCAGCACAGGAGAGTTGGGAACAATTTGTGAATGAATCTAAAACGAGACGGCTGCTGGACCAGACATCCTCGGGCTTCCTCGGCCCCCCTGTGAGACTCTTCTGTGCGCCTTGGCGCTTTCTGCGAAGAAAGCGTGGCTGTCCGGACCAGCATGTAGCCGGCGCGGAGGCGCGATGCCGGAAGTCGTGGTGGGGAAGTCTCGAGCGAAGCGGCCGCCGGACCAGACGTCCTCGGGCTTCCCGTCCCCCCGGTGGGACTCTTCTGTGCACCGTGAGACCTGCTCTGCAAAGGATCGTGGCCGTCCGAGCCAAGAATGGATCGGGAGCGGCCAGGAGGGGGGTGTCCAAGAGGGGGGTGTGCAAATCATGACCGGCGGCATGTGCGCGGCCCAGCGGGGGGGCCTGGGACGCAATGAAACAAGAGGAGGCGCCCTGAGATCTGGGGAAAAATCATGGCCCCCGCCATGAGATCCACCCCCCCTAGTCATCACCCCCCACTTTTCCACCCCCGAATGTAGCCGGCACTGCGGCGGGAGCACGGTTCCGGGACACTGCGTCAGGAAACCTGCGGCGACACTGCTGCCCGACCAGCTGCCGGACCGGCACTGCCGGACCGCCTGCCGCACGGGGCGGTCTGGGGCTCCCCTCTATGCGAGCCCTACAGCGAAAGCCTGTCAGGGAAATGTCACCAGCGTGGGCCCCAAGCAGTGTATTGCTGGCTATCAGTGTTGCGCGATGTGTGTGGTGCAAGCTACGTGGCACAATCAATGTGGTGCAATCTGTGTGTTGCAAGCTATGTTGTGCAATTTATGTGGAGCAACCTATGCGGTGCAATAGATGTTGGGCAATTTATGTTGTGCGATCTACGTTCTGCAATGTCTGTGGTACAATCTATGTGGTGCAATCGATGTGGTGCGATCTGTGTGGTGCAATCTACGTGGTGCGCAAGATATGCAGTACAATCGACGTGCTGCAATCTATTTGGTGCAATCTATGTTGTGCTACCTGTGTGGTGCAATCTATGTTATCCAGTCTATGCCGTGCTAGCTATGCTGTGCAATTTATTGGGTCAATCTATGTTGTCCAATACATGTTGTTCGACCTCGGTGGTGCAGTTTATGTTGTGCAACCTCGCTGATGCAATACTTGCAGTGCAATCTAGGTGGTGTATATGCAGCGCAATATACGTTGTGCAGTTTAGGCGGCGACGGGTCGGCGACGGCAGTACCATAGCCGCCTAAACACCGGACCAGACGACGGCCGGCGACGAGGCGGCGACGGGGTGGCGACGGCGACAACATAGCCGCCAGACCGCCACATCGGCCCAGACGACGGCTGGCGACGAGGCGGCGACGGGGCTTTGACTGCGACAACACAGCCGCCAGACCGCCACATCGGCCCAGACGACGGCCGGCGACGAGGCGGCGACGGGGATTTGACTGCGACAACACAGCCGCCAGACCGCCACATCGGACCAGACGACGGCCGGCGACGAGGCGGCGACGGGGTGGCGACGGCGACAACACAGCCGCCAGACCGCCACATCGGACCAGACGACGGCCGGCGACGAGGCGGCGACGGGGTGGCGACGGCGACAACATAGCCGCCAGATTGCCGCACCAGCCCAGTTCCTTAGAGGAGACCTAAGAACCCCTACGTGCGAGCACTGTTTGGGGAATAGCTTGTACAAGCTGAACAAGGATGCGAACAAACATAAGTGGCTGATTCACGCGACATGGACGAGGAGGACGGAAACATAAGACAGGCCACATCAATCCACTACTCAAGATATGCAGATCAACGCTAAGAGAGACAGAGTCGGCATCCTCGCCGCCTCGGTGATCCCGACGACGACGATGATGACGGCTGAGGTGATGAAGGTTGACGAACTACAGTCCTCCACAATGTTGACTTCAAAAACGGTTGACGCCTCCTTCAATGTCGCCCCCAGTCACCCTTTCAACGTCACCTCCCTCCAGCATCGAAGCAGGGTGAAACGCGGTCTGAGCGGGTGTGACTCGGAAGTTCCACGATGACCGACATTGGAGGGGGTGGGCGCCAACAAGTATATGGCACGACATGTTACCTAAACTCAGAACATCATATCGACAAGAGAACTGCAAAACACACTTGTGCGGTGAATCTTGTCGAGGGGATTTCGAGGAACAGGCAATGGCATAAGCATGCACTTGCAGAGCTCGTGCGGATTCCTCGGATCGGTGCCGGAGCCCCCTGGTTGCGCCTCCAGCGCAGTACGTGGCGCGCTCCGCGCGCCAGAACGGGGGGTCCAACGCTGGTCCAACAAATCAGCGCGGACCTGCGCAAGTTTACGTTCATGGCGCTTCAGTCGGACTTGATTGGAGAGGACACGCGAGAGGACACAAGACCCTTCTGGGGGCCACATTGCCATAGGAATGTAGGAGGCACGGGCCGCGAGACACAGGACATAAGGGTACCCTTGATTTGGCAGGGTCGACCTACTGATCCGGGCTGACTGTACCTGTTCCTCGAGTAGTCGCCGTGGGCCTGCGCCCTGCGGTCAGCAGCTGTCCAGGCTCACGGGCATCGGCCGCAGCTTCCCGCACCGCGGCTGGCTGTCGGCGAAGCCCCCGCGGGCCACCAGACGGCGCAGCGGGTCCTGCCAAGAGGGGGCAATGGGACGCCTCTTCCTCTTCCTCCTCCTCCTCCTCCTCTTCCTCCTCCTCCTCCTCCTCCACTTCCTCCTCCTCCTCCTCCTCCTCCTCCTCCTCCTCCTCCTCCTCCTCCTCCCCCTCCTCCTCCCCCTCATTCTCCTCCTCCGCGTCCCCTCCCCCGTCCCTCCTCGCAGGCTCTGGAGTGCGTGGCCACCTGGGCTCGGCGACGGTCCTCCGCCTCGTCCTCCTCCTCCTCCTCCTCCTCCTCCTCCTCTTCCTCCTTTTTTGTCCACATATCGCTACGCGGCCAGGCAGTCTCCAGAGTTTTCTTCTGCACCCTCACCTCCCGCACCCTCCGCCATTGGCCGATGAGTTTCTGCCATGCCCTTTGCTTTGAGGCTGCGGCCTGCCCTGTGTGGGGTTCATAATGGATCTTCACAGTCGAACTCTTCTCCTTGTCGCAGTTTCACAGTCTCCAGTATTGCTCCGACGGCCGCCTCATCTTCAAACCTTTTCAACGTATAGCGAGTTTGGTAATCCTCCTGCCCCCGCCCCCTCCCTCCTCGCAACCTTTGGGGTGCGTGGCCACCGGGGCTCGGCGACGGTCCTCCTCCTCCTCCTCCTCCTCCTCCTCGTCCTCCTCCTCCTCGTCCTCCGCCGTCTCTGTCCCCTCCCCCTCCCTCCCCGCAGCCCCGGCAAACACCTCACTCCGAGGTGCGTGGCCACTGGGGCTCGGCGTGTCGGTCGGCGGTCCCAAATGCACGCCCCAAACACGGATTTCGCTAGTTCCTGAAACGTGTTAGTGTTATGCCTTCTCCAGCTCCCTACTCCCCAGGAAGGGCCAAGAGGACCCAAGACGGCCCCAGAGGCCCCAAAGATCGCCCCAAGACTGCCCAAGAGAGCATTAAGACGGCCCAGGAGGCCCCTAAGATGGCCCCGGAGGCCCCCAGGCCAGTCAGAAGAGGGGTCCCGCAGGGGACAATTGAATGGCCAGTCGACCCCTCCACTCTCAAAATGATAGTGAGGTCCTCCGAGAAGCCCCCAGAAGCCCTCGAGACTCTCACTAAGAGGCCCCCAAAAACACTACAGATGCCTCCGAGAGGCCCCCGAGAGGTCCCCGTAGAGACCCCAAAGAGCCTCCCGAGAGGCCTCCTGTCCCCGACCCGCGCGCGCGCGCGGTGGCGGGTTTTTTTGGCCGAAGGCCATTCGATGATTTCCCTCCCTGGGCGCTGCCGACTGCACCACTGTGAGTTGCTAGCAGGCCCAGCGACCTGGTATCCTACACCGTTCGGCCCAAACTGTTGCCCTGGTTCTCGGGCGCCGCCAGCCGCGCAACTGTCGGCACCTTCGTGGTCTCCTGGAAGGTCCAGCGGAGGGCGGTTGTGCGCAGATCCAAGCTGTAACTGTTCTTCCCCTCTCTGTAGGCGCTGTCGACCGCGCAACGATCGGAGTTTTTGAAGGATCCTGGGAGATCCAGCGGAATGCGATCCTACGCGTACCCAAACTATCGCTCCTTCCTTGGTCGCTGCCCGCTGGGCAGCTGTCGTATGATGTTTAACACCTGGGAGATCCAGCGGAGCGACGCCTTACGCCTGTAATCGCCGTGCCGCCTCAAGCGGCCTTCTTGCGACGCGCCGTGCATGATTCCCCGTGCAGCTCTCAGATCGGGATGGGGTGCTCTTTCCATTGCCCACTCCTTTTCGACGAGCCTCTGGATGCTCCTGCGTGTCTCAAGCGGACGGGGCACCAGGGCGCGTGTCGGGCAAGACGTGTGGACTCCGAATGCAACATGTTTTCGCGCGCGCGACGGGTGCTGGCAAACGACGAAGCATCAAACTGCTGCGATGGCACTTGTCCATAAACGGAACGTCGCGCCACGAGCAGCGTCGATGGGAGGCCCCGCGCGGCTGCCGGTGGGGGGCAGGCGCGCCGCACCGGGGGCGCACGGACTCGTCACCATGCCTGGGGCATGCGCTGCGGGGGGGGGGGGAGCGGAGCTCTGCAGCCGAGCGAGTGCAGCACCGTGGCTCCCCCGTCCTCCGCTCTGCAGCCGAGCGAGTGCGACACCATGGCTCCCCCGTCCTCCTCCTCCTGCTCCTCCTTCCGCTCCCTCCTCCCTCTTCCTCCTCTAGCCGCTCCCCTCCCCTGGGTCACTTCGCTTCGTGCACAGCGCCCCGAGATGCTCGACGCGCGGCTCTCTTCGCCCCCCCCCCGCGCCGCCCCCCCCCTTGGAGAAGGACAGCCGCTCGGGCCCGGACGGCGACGCGCGAAGTGCCATTACGTATCTTCGCGCCCCTCGGGGTGGCATAGCTTCCCTCCTCCCTCTCCATCGCCTCGCAGCCACCTTCTCCCTCCACTCGAGTCTCCCAGTCTGAACGCCGCGGCAGAGGTCACTGAAGAGAGACAAAGGGAGGATAATGGGCACGGAGAGGAGAAAGGAAGGATGAGGGGGAGAGGGAAGATGACGGAGACGATGATGACCAGGATGAAGGAGGAGCAGAAGTACGAGAGGATGAGGACGAAGAGCACAAAGCCGAGAGGAGGAAGTGGTGGAGGAGGACCCATGTACACCGAAGACGCATCAACGATGCTACAATGAACCCTCCCTCCAAACTCCCTCTTCATAAGGCCCTGCAAGATCTCTCCGTTGCAAGAAATGCCGCATTGGAAGCCTGCAAGATCTCTCCGTTGCAAGAAATGCCGCATTGGAAGACAACCGTCAGCTGATTCTCAATTCGACCAAGACACGATTCCTGGGACTTCAGTGTCGCAAGCCGACGTGAATGTTGCACCCTGAGAATCTGAATTCATACCAGAGCACCAGCGCCTGGGCCTTTACCACCGCGGATCAAGGTGACTGTTAAGTCTTGACAATGCTAACCCCTGCCAAAACAACATTCCTGGGACTTCGACGGTGTATTTTTGAAAGCTGCTGCAGACTTTCAAGGCGAACGTGCGCGGCGCTCGGGCAAGAACCACCTCTTGAAACAGGAGCCGTCGACCTGGAATCGGCGATACACCGCCGATAGATCGGCGATCTCTGCCCCTGATAATGAGTCCGCACCTTCCTGGGCGGGTTGGGGCTATCGGGTCCCTGTCGGCGATCAATGGGCGAATCGGGGTCGATGCCTATCCCCCCCCTGTGCCTACCCCCCCTTATCGCTGCCCCTGACTAGTGCGAGAACCACACATCTGAACACCGCCCGCCCTCCGTCCTTGAGACGGCTGTATATGTTTATTTAATATGACGAGTGTGCGGTGCGTGGCGCTAATGCGAGAGCCACACTCTCAGAAACGCCTTCCCCCCTGCAGCGTTCAAGCTTCAGGCGTGTATATGGGGGGAAGTCTCAAGCGAACCGCTCGGTCCGCCCTGCGTCCTTGAGGCGGCTGCATACGTTTAACAAGACGGGTGTGCGTGGCGCTAACGCGAGAGCCACACTCTCAGGAACGACTCCCCCTCTGCAATTTTCAAGCTTCAGGCGTACATATGGGGAGGGAGTCTCAAGCGAACCGCCCGGTCCGCCCTGCCAACATGTCTGGGGGCGCGACAGCGAGGAGTTATTCATAAGGAAGAGGGGTGGAGGAGGGATGGGCATAAGGACAAGATAACAAGGAGCAGACTGGCGATGAACACAAGGACGGAGGAGGAGGAGGAGGAGGAGAAATAGGAGGAGAAGAGGAGGAGAAGGAGTTGGAGGGGAGTCGGAGGAGGAGGAGGGGGAGTTGGAGAGACAGGGGAGTGGAGGAGGAGGATGAGGAAGGTCCCAGATGTCAGCAGAGGCCTCCTGAGGCATTCAGTCCCCAGGAACGCCAAAAACGAGCATGAGGAGGAGGAGGAGGCGGAGGAGGAGGAGGCGGACGAGGAGGAGGAGGCGGACGAGGAGGAGGAGGAGGACGAGGAGGAGGAGGAGGTTCCCAGAGGTCTTAGGAGGGCCAACCGAATTCAATTAAACTCGATCCTCGAGAATTGAGGAAGAGGACTCTCCGGTCGTGGTGCTGTCCTGTTGTTTCTCGCTTCTCTGCAAGCCCTTCTTGGGCGCCCTCGCACCATCGGCCTGGTCGACACCCAACTCGGCGAGACAGGACGATCGCCGTCACACGTATGCGACGGTCCTCGGCTGAGGAGCAGGAGGATGCGCACGGAACGGGAGATGATGAGGAAGAGGATTAGCAGGGAGGTGGAGGGGGAAGAGGGGGAAGAGAAGAAAGAAGAGGAGCCCCCGCAACCAGGCAGTCCTGCGAGCTCGGCTTCGTCCGTGGTACGATCTCCGTGCAGATCGGCGGCGGCATCGGCCGGCGCAGCCCGCAGCGGCGCCCGCTGTGAGCTGCTCTTCTCTTCGGGCGTTGCCAGACGTGACCCTGGCCCGGGAGTTGTTCTTCTCTTTGGCGCAGCTTTTCCCCGGACCGGGCAGCTTCCAGAGCACCCATCACGAGGCCCAGACGGCCCCATGCTCCTCGCCGCCGGTCCGAGCGAGCCTTTCGGGCCTGAGACGAGGCATGTGGAAGGTCTCTGAGTTCTGCGAGGGCGTCCTAGGGGTCATCATGAAAGGGCCTGCGCTTATCAGCTCGGATCCGAGAGACAGCAGGGCATTCCCGAGTGCTTTGCGAGCCACGAGGGGATCCTTGGAGAGCTTGGGGGACCAGACGGGCATAGAACGAGACAAACAGGAGCGTGATCGGAGGGCAACTTCCAGTCGAAGGGGTTCCCAGGAGGAGGCTTCTCGGAACACAGACCAAGAGCTTGGCGGTGCACATGTTGGTATATCCTATCCAGACGGTCTTCCGAAATGATATGCTCGTCACGAATAACTCTGTGGGTTGCAAGTGGGTGCTCAACTTCGGCGAAAGACGGAGATGGTGGCGAGAACACAGCCCCCAGGTTCCTGGATGGGTAGTTGGTTTGCCCTGTCTACAGCAGGCTACCCTCTCTCAGCGTGGGAGCGTTCCAGCAACCAAAAGCGCCACGGCTTTCGCAGGGAGGAGGAGGATGCGGAGAACGAGACTGAAGTTCGGCCCCTCCCTCCCTCTCTCTTTCTTTCTTTCTCTTTCTCTCTCGTTCCCTCGTCTCCCTCCCTCCCTCCCTCCATCTCTTTCTCAGTTGCACAGCCGAGCGCGCGGCCAGGGAGAGGCCGCCCACCCTTCGAGGACCTCCCCGCCGCGCTTGCACTGCACGCGCTGCCCTTGCGCATCCGTGCTTGCCGCTGCCATGCTGCTGCTGCTGCAGCGCAGACTTCAGACTGGCTGGGCTCATTTGCCGTGCCCGTGCCGGCCACCTCCCCTGGGACGCACAGGGACACACTAATACTACATGTCCTCCTTGGAGGCGCGCGTCCGACCCGAACATATAGTATACCCGTCTCGTAGTCTATCCTTTCCCGAGCGGTGTGGCCAGAAAGCGCCCGCCACGACGCATATACTATACGATTTCTCGGTGCGCGCGTCGCCCATGGGGGGGCGACGCACATATAGTAGAAGTATGTTGGGCTGACGCCGATCCCCCTCCCTCCTTGAGTGCATCCTCCTTCTCCCATCCATCCCAGCAAGCAGGCTGCTGGAGGCGCCGTGTGCGGTCGCACGCGCCGCAGGACAGTGGGGGAGGGATGGGAGCTCAGAGGAGCATGGGAGATGACAGGGACTACACATCTGCTGCCGCTGCAGCGCAGACTGCAGCCCAGCTGGGCTCACCGTCCGTGCCCGCTGCCGGCCACCTCCCCCCCTCCCCTCGTTGGAGTGCATCATCCTTCTCCCACCCTGCCCAGCAAGCAGGCTGCTGGAGGCGCCGTGTGCGGTCACACGCGCCGCGGGATGAGGGGGAGGGATGGGAGCCTGGGGACTGTAGCCTGGGGCGGGGCGGTTGCTCACAAGACCTTGGCGCCCGTTCTGAACGCTTGCTGGATACAAGTTGCTACCAAATAACTACGTACCACTCTCTTCTGACAGGCCGCGCGCCTCATCAGAGTCGCAATCCAAACACACATTCCATTTTTTTTTCTCTCTCTCTCTCTCTCTCTTTCTCTCCCCTCCTGTCCATACTTGGGAGCTCGCGGCGCCAAGTCAACGTATCCAGGGAAAGAACTCTCCGCCACTGGCCGTGCTATGTTGCCCCAGTGCTCACACAGGGACGCCACCCGACGGTCAGCAGGGACCACGAGGCCTCTCCAGGGGAGACCCAAGAGGAGCGCGGCAAGGTGGTCCGATCCTCCGAGAGGCTCCCGGAGAGGGCCCGCACACACATTGAGAACACGTGGTGTGTTCGAGCATTTCCCGGGTTCCTGTCCAAGGCGTTCCTTTGCAAGCACATCGTCTTCGGCACCGCCTGATTCCGGGGCTGTGCCCCCTCCTGGCCTTGATGTGAGGCCCCTCTTTCTGCCCCCCTCTCGTTAATTCAAGCTGTGCGCGGCCCGCTCAGCTCCGACCGGAAGAGGTGCGCTCTCGACCCGCGGATCAAAAAAGTGCTCGAGTATCTCGAGGGGCAGCGACACGGGGGGGGACTGGCTCGGGGGGCGAACCGTCGGCCTGGGCGCGGCGAAGCATCGCCGACAGATCCACGAGAATGGGCCCCCGAGCGCGAAACACCGCACATTCCTGGGCGGGGCTGGGCTATCGGGGCCCTCTCGGCGAGGAGCGGGCGATGGGGGTCGATGCGTTCCACCCCGAGCCTGCCGCCATCGGCCTGACCTAAGGAACGATAAACAAGGAACGTCGCCCCTTTTTTTCTCCAGGGAGTAACGCATGAGGAACGATAACTAATCAAGAACGTATACGGGACGATGAATAACGCATGCAAGCCTAAGGAACGGCGGGGCCCCTTTCGAAAAGTTAGTGTTCCTTGTTCAAGCCGCTCACTGTACCCCCCTATCGTTGCCCCCGATGCTTGTCTCCTGCCTCGTCGCTCCAAGAGATTCGGCGACGGGCCCCTGGATGGTCCTCAGAGGCTCCAGGAGGGTTGCGACACTGCCCAAGCTGCCCCCTTTGAGACCAAGCTCTGCTCCCAGGTCGGCCAACATGTCCCAAGAGGGCCTGAACACTGCCCAGATTCCCCGAAGAGGCCCCAAGATAGCTCCCAGAGCGTACAGTGTGCCCCTAAGATCGCCCAAGAAGGCCCAGGATGGCCCACGCACGATTTCCTCACAGTGGCCCAGGTTGCCTCAAGATGGCCCAAGATTTCTCCAAGGAAGGCCCCAGAAAGCTCCGAGATGGCCCCGACAGGCCTCACCCGCCTGGGGGATGGGCAGCGCTGCGTGGCGCAACTTCCTGGATCTGCGGGCCCCGACTCCTCCGCGACGAGCGACGCACCTCCGCAGCGATCCGCGCGACGAGAAGATGAATCTGCCCACTCTGGCTGACTCTGGCTTGAACCTTCGACGCAGCACGAAAGGCCTTCACAGACAAAGCCTTCCAGAGAACGGGCCACAATGATCCCATCCGAATGCCATGAACTACAGAACCCTGACAACCGACGGAGGGACTCTTGCAGAGACGAGAGCAAACCCAAACTCAAGTGCCTGTCGGAGAAATACAACACGGCGTTCGAGCAGCCGTCCTGCTGAGCCTGGCAGCCAGGGAGGAAAGGGCGGCAACGCTGCAGGATGAGGCGGGGGAGCAGGTGAGGAAAGGATAGGGGAGGAAGGATCGAGGATAACAGAAAACGTGAGGGGCAGAAGGGGGATGAGGAGAAAGAGAAGACTCTCCTAGGCGCGCCAAGCTCGTCAACTCGAGATGAATGGAGCCAGGTGGCAATCGAAGTCACCATTGCATTGGAGGGAGGCCCCTTCCCTTTGATCTTTTGATCCTTTCCCCACCCAAGGCTGGATGTCCTGGGGAGGGTCATGGGGGAGCTGATGGGGGTGGGAGGGGGGTCATGGGGGGGTCCCAATAGGACCCGCCGTTCGTGCGATTATAACCAAATGTTTTCTGTTTTTTCCTACATGTACCGTTTGTTGCACATGTTCACATCTTTCAAGTGTAGTTTTTCCACAGCCCTGCCACTGAGATCTCAACAATTAAAACCAATTTGAAAGTTTCCACAACCAAGTTCAATTTGAATATCACCACACTTAGAATCACTGTGTTCAATTACATTTTGATTTTCATTGTAATGGACTTCCAAAGAAAGAGCAGTGGGACCGCGGAGGCTTACCAAGATAGCAGGAAAACATGACACACATACAGACGCCTGTCTGCTCACAAGAAAAACAACAAAAACACCGGAGAAAACAATTAAAGAAAACATGTGACCGTTCATGCTTTTAGTTGTTGCGCCAATCAAAACGCTGACCATCACAATTGTTTACCCATCTTCCGTGTGAGAAAACAAACGCTTGTTCTTGTTTATTTTTCTCTTTTTCCTGGTAAGCTTCCTCGGCCCCACGGCACCGCCACAATATTCCCTACAATTAAAAGGAATTTGAAAAGCCGCACAACCAAATCCATCTGAAAACTCGTACATTCAAAATCAATTTGGAAATCCACGCAACCAAATCTAACGTGTAAATTCCCACCAGCGAAATCAACTTGTAATGCACTTGCAACTTCATTGTGGGTTGTAATGGGTTTGCAGAGGCAGCGCCGTGGGGCCGCGGAGGCTTACCAGGACAAGTATAAACACGACACACATGAAACACCAGGTTCTTCTTATCAGGAAGCGCAAGAACAACTGATGATCAACCCGTATGAATGTCAGCGTTTTTGTTGGTGCAACATATAAAACAAACACTCGCAGTAGCATGTGTTCTTTAGTTGTGTTTCAATTTTTTTTGTTGTTCTCATGCTTTCTCTCTGAAAACTCACGCTTCTCCATTGTTTCATGTTTCTCTTGTTTTACTGGTAACCTTCCGCGGCCCCACTGCGTCGCAACAAGGATTCCCTACAATTGAAACCAATCCGAACAACCACACACTCAAATTCAATTTGAAAGCCCGTGCACTCAAAATCCATGTGTCAACCCACCATCAAATTCAACGTGTACCCATTTACAGCTTGATTTTGGTTGTAAAGGATTTCAAGAGGCAGAGCAATGGGGCAGCGGCATCTTACCCGTAAACAAAAAAAACAACATAAAACAAACGCTTGCATTTGCATAGGGAAGAGCAGAGAATCACCAAGGAATGCCGATAGCCGTCGCTACTATTATGGCGCAAATGATTTACATATCACATCCTTGTGTAGCGGCCTTTGCTAAATTAGTCCTTCTCTGGCGACCGGAGAAAAAAGATTTTAAGTGTGGAGGGTCTGCAATAGCTTCCACACGTAGAATCCTTTTGTAGCAGCCTGTACACATTGGGTTCCTCTTGTGGCGGCCTTACAACCGGGTTTCATGCGTGAGGGGGCTTGCAGTGGCGGCACCTTGGGCCCAGGAGAGCGATAGAGGAACATAGGAAACAACAAACAAATGAAACACATGAAACAAAGCAGTGTTTTGATATGGGGAGGCAAGAACAAGCTAGGACAACCTGTGAATTTCGCTAGTTTTAACGGCGCATAGGATCTACACTTACAAACAATTGGAACGGTCTTTGCAACAGGATTTTTTGTGTGGCGGCCTGGCAAACAATGATTTTAAGTGTGGAAGGCCTGCAGTGGCCTCCACACTTAGAACCCCTTTTTAGCAGGCTCTACAACGTATTTTCTTTTGCGGCACCTTACTACAACTCAAATTGAAGGGATATCGGCACCATAAGCAACCGTGGATCGTAAGTGTTGGTCAGGCCGCCACACAAGAACCCCTTTTGTAAAGGCTGCTGCAACATGATTTTACTTGCGGAAACCATTGCATATCCTTCACACTTGCAATCCTGTTGTAAGGTTGCCACACAAGGAACCCTTTTTGTAAAGGCCGCTACAAAAGGATTGTAATGGCAAGTCATCTGCGCAATAAAAAACAACGACACGGACACATGTTCCTAGCTGCTTCCCCTTTTCCCGTGTGAAACACAAGTGGTTTGTTTCTTTTATTCTTTTTTAAAAATAATGTTTATGTCCTGTGTTCCTCTGTAGCTTTCCTGGGCTCAGGGTGCCGCCACTGCAGAACCCACACAGTTGAATCAATTTTGTAACGCCGCCACTGGGGAACTCCCTTGTGTACAGGCTGCGGCCAAAACAACAATAATTCTGGAGGCCACTGCGTATCTTCCACACTTGCAATCCTTACGATAAGGTCGCAACAAAAACTATTCCCTTTTTGTAAAAAGGCCGCTACAGTCGGATATTCAGTGTAGACCATCGGCACTTCAAAAACAGCGGCAGTCACAGGTGTTCCTAACTTTGTCTTGTTTTTCATGTGCAAACGTAAGTTGTCTTTCTTCATGTATATATATATGTGTATATATATATATATATGTATATATAAACGTTCATATTGTTTCCCCGTTGTTTCTCTCTAGCTTTCCTGGTGCAACGCTGCAAATCCCCCACACTAAGAAACCCTTTGTGAGGCCGCCGCAAACGGAATCCCTTTGTACAGGCTGCTACACAAGGACTCTAAGTGTGGAGGCCGCTGCAGATCCCCTACACTTTCAATCCTGTTGGAAAGGCCCCAGAAGGAATCCTGCTGGAAAGGCCGCTACAAACGGACGTTACTTGTTGATCATGTGCGTTGTAAAAAACGCGACAGCCACGTATTGTTTCATGTTTGATCTCCTGTTTTTCCTTGTGACAACATAAGCGTTTTACGGTTTGTCATGTTTGTGTGTGTGTGTGTGTTTTCTATATTTTCCGTTCTAGCCTTCCTGGGTTCAGGGTGCCGCCACTGCAAGTCCCTTCCAATTAAAACCCTTTGTGTAAGGCCGCCACACACGGAATCCCTCTTGCACAGGCTGCTACAAAAGATTTCTCATTGTGGAGGCCACTGCAGGTCCTCCACAATCAACTTATTGTGTAAGGTCACCACGCAACATCCTTTTGAAAGGCCGCTACATAAGGATTTTCAGTGAAGACCATATGCGCTGCAAAAAACGACAGTCACACATTGTCCTAGCTGTTTCTTGGTTTCCCGTATGAAAACGTGAGCTGTTTCATACATCCCCAGGCCGACATTTTTTTTTGCCCTTGCATGGGAGCGCATGGATCCATTTGGATCCAATTACGTGTGTGCGAGAGTCACGTGGATCCAATTTCCGTGTCTTCTGGATCCAATTTTTTGGCGTGGAAGCTTCGTGGATCCAATACTTTTACTGGAGTTAATGTATACTAATGATTAGTACAAGGGGCGCAAGGGGAAATGGATCCACGGAGCTTTGGACCTGCAGCCCAAGCTATGATTCTACGGGGGAAGGGTTTCGCTACCGAGAGACACAACACACTGGGACGAGCAGGGAAAAACAAACCAGGGGCGGGCGAAGAGGAAGATGAGGGAGGAAGGACGGAGAGGAGGGAGAGGACGACGACGAGGAAGAAGAAGAGAGACGCTCGAGCGCCACAGCGGGCCTGGCCACCTCTCCGAACCCCTCCCACAACATGTCGTTACTCGAGCGCCACAGCTGCCCCGGCCAACTCCCGCAGCCTCCGTAACATGTGGGTGCTCGAGCGCCACAGCGGGCCTGGCCAACTCCCGTAGCCTCCCATAACATATGCCGCACCCCACCTCGACGCGAGCGCGATATGATCGCTGCGTCCGCATTCGCTAGAAAGTCAACGACACTTCGCATTTGTCATGTGGGCCTCACGAGGAAAATCTTTCGGCCTGCTCAAGTAGTTGTCTTGCTTCTCCTGTTTTCCCTTCGAGCTCTCCTGGGTTCAAGGTGCCCCCACTGCAGATCCCCCACACTTGAAACGATTGTGTAAGGCCGCCACATCAAGGAATCCTTTTGTACAGGCTGCTACATAAGGATTCTCAGTGTGGAGGCCACTGCAGATCCTCCACACTTGCAAATCTTTCGTAAGGTCGCCACAAAAGGAATGTTTTTGTGAAAGCGTTGCAGCAAAAGACGTCGGGAGAACAAGAACAGCGGGAATCTGCATAATAACCAAGACGACGAACATGCATGATGAGTAAACGGATGATCTATATCGTTGCAATCGCCAGGAAACCGATCAAACATGCCTTGACCCAAACAGCGGGTCGGGGGGTCCCAGGTCAGAACGCGATACCCCCCTTCCTTTTTGGGTCCCCTTCGAATGAATTTGGCCAGTCCCCTTCGGAAAGTCAAATCCAAGATGATCCAAGATGGACCAACAAAAGGGCCCAGATTCGCCGAGAAATCGCTCCAAGACGCCCAAGATCACCTCCAGACGGCTCCAGACGCCTCCAAGAGGCCCCCAGAGGCCTCCGAGAGCACTCCCACGAGAACCCCAAGAGGCAAAATCAATTGACTTCCCTTCGATTTTTTCTGAAATCTTAATTTTCTTACCTTTCGGCTTCCCGATGCTTCAAGGCGGCCCCAAAGGGCCCAAATATCGCCCCCAAACAGCCTCACAGGTCCCCAAGAAGGCGCAGAAACGGGCCGAGAGGTTTCCAAGACGGCCGGAGAAGGCCTCCAAGACGGCCCCAAAGAGCTCCAAGAACGCCCCATAAGGGTCTCAGAGAAGGACCCGAACCCACATGTCGAGCTCACCGCCCCAAGAGGTCCCCTGGAGGCCCCAAGGGACACCCAAGAGCCCCCAAGAGGCCCCCAGGAAGCCCCAAGAGGCCCCCCCAAAACTACCAAGAGGCTGCCCCTAGAGGCGTCTGGGAGCCCTCCGAAGAGAACCGACAACGCATGCATCAAGACTCCGACCCACTGCCGAGGCACGGTGGCGGGATAAGCCGCAGGCCACTAGACCTGGCCCGGCACAGAAACTGAAAGAGCGCTTGAGAAACAGGAGCCGAAATTTCTCGCAGCACCGTTCGTGCAGGGAGCCTTAGCGTTGAGAGCTTGTTACGTCACCCCTCGCTCTTGGGAGCCTTGGTGTTCAGAGATTGTTGCGTTGCCGCCCGTTCCTGAGCCTTGGCTGGGCCTTGGTGTCAAGAACTTGTCACGTCATCGCTCTCTGCTGGGAGCCTTGATCTTATCAGCTTGTTTACGTCACCGTTCGCTCTTGGGAGCCTTGGTATGAAGAGCTTTTTGCGATACCGATCGCTCTTTATTTGGCGTCTCTGGGCAATCTTGGGAGTTCTATTGCGGCCCTTTTGGAGCCCTTTTGGGGGCCTTTTGGGGCTTCTTGGGGGGCTCTTGGGGCCTCCTGGGAGCTTCTTGGGGCGAAATGCTAGACTTTTCGCTTCGTGGTTCCCCTCTTGGGCCGTCTTGGGGCCCTCTTGGGCCGTTGTGGGGGCCTCTTGGGAGCCTCTTGGGCCGTCTTGGGGCGGTCTAGGGGGCCTCTTGGGTCGTCGTCAACGCCGTGAGAGGCGAAAAGCCGTGTATGCTAAACATGTATGTTTTTTTTTCTTAGGAAAATCATAGATTTTGGCCTCCTGGTGGCCTCTTGGAACGCCGCTTGGGCGCCTCTTGGGGCTTCTTGGGGGGCTCTTGGGGCGTCCTGGGAGTGTCTTGGGGCGAAAGGCTAGACTTTACGATTCGTGGTCCCCCTCTTCTGGCCGTCTTGGGGCCCTGTTTGGCCGTCTTGGGCGCCTCTTGGGCCGTCTTGGGGCCCTCTTGGGCCATTTTGGGGGCCTCTTGAGAGCCTCTTGGACCGTCTTGGGGCGGTCTTGGGGGCCTCTTGGGCCGTCGTCAACGCCGTGAAAGCCTCAAAGCCGTATATGCTAAAAATGCACGTTTTCCCATGGAAAATCAATGATTTTGGCCTCTTGGGGCCCTCTTGGGACGCTTCGTCTTCCTGCGTGGTGTCACGACATCCTTCGGCGTCTTCAAGCAAGCGGCGAGCATGTTATATCCGTCTCGGTCCCAAGGAGCATGCACACCTCAACTTCTAAACACTATTGTACCGATCGAACTTTCGCATTGAAGCGGCAGGGATCTATATGGTTCTGTCGGGGGGAGCACGGACCGATCCCCTGGAAGTTCCGAGCCGAAAAAACTTCGAATGATGCAGAGCAGGAGGGCGCGGGAGTAGACGGCGACGATCAGGCTGGTGATGATGCGCATCCTGAGAACATGAGATAGATCACACTGTGATGCCATGAAGATGTCTTGGACGCATTGCCAATACCGCAGCCTGCGGATAAAACAATGAATAGTGAGAGGGGAAGCAAGAGGGAGAGAGAGAGAGAGAGAGAGATATAGAGAAAGAGACAGAGAGAGAGAGAGAGAGAGAGAGAGAGAGAGAGAGAGACAAAAAAAGAGAGAGATAGCGGAGGCGGAGGAGGCCAACATCCCACCAGCCCTTTGGGCGTGAGTGGTTTAAAGAGCTCTATCTGTTCTCAACCCCTCTTCTTCCCCTTCGGGGAGGGGTTTACCCCTCCCCCTACCCCCTCCCCCTGGGCCTGGAGAGGGCGCCCCGCGGGTCGTTGGAGGGGTCTTTTTCGACTCCTGGGAGGGCTAAAAAACGACACCCCTCACGAGGATTCTGGCCCCGACGGGGGGAGGCAGAAAATTGTTCCCCTCTTCTTTGAAGCCAGAATCATTGATTTTACTACGGTTTTGGCCCCATGTTGGCCTTCTGAGGGGGCAGCGCTAATTAAAGCTTCCCTCTTCTTTCAAGCCAAAATCATTGATTTTACTACGGTGTTGGCCCCATTTTGGCCTTCTGAGGGGGCAGCGCTAATTAAAGCTCCCCTCTTCTTTGATCGATTTCCTCCTAGATGGCCAAAAGAAGCGCCCAGGAGGGACCAAGAGGCCCCAAGATGGCCCCAAGAGGCCCCCAGGAGGCCCCCAAGTGGATCCCAAACGGCCCAAAGAGGCCCCCCCGAGGCACCCAAGACGCCGAAAAGCCCATCAGGACGACCCTCTACTCGCCTGGGCGTCGTTTCTGGACGGGCAGGAGGAGGGGCCCGAACGACTCACACCAGGACGAGGGGCCCGAACAACTCACACCACGAGAAGCCCGAACGACTCACACCAGGACGAAGAGCCCGAACGACTCACACCACGAAGAGCCCGAACGACTCACACCAGGAAGAAGGGCCCGAACGACTCACACCAGGACGAGAAACCCCAAACGACTCAAACCACGAGGAGCGCTTTCTCTCCCTCCTCCTCCGCCTCGTCCTTCTCCCGCTCCCACCACAAGGAGGATGTACAAGGAGGCGGGAGGAAGGAGGAACAGGGGAGATATGCGGGGGCAGGCAGAAACACGCCTGAAAAACACGACTGTCGGCATGCTTCGCTAGAGTTGCTGTTTTGAGATGGGCTGGTGGGGATACGCGAAGCGTGAAGAATTTGGAGAAATCGCTGGTGATCGACATCGCGTGACGTTGGGACGGCAATTGCCGTAAGCGGCGCCGCGGGGCGGCCTGTGGCTGGTAGGTGCTGCTAGCGGAAGCGCAGCTGCTCTCGTCTGCTCCGATCGTGGAGGGCACGCGCGACGAGTTGCGCGACATCGCCTGCGCTCTCGCCGACGCCAGCGTCCCCGCCGCCGCCGCCGCCACCGCCGCCATCGCTGTCGCCGGCCGCAGCTCCACTGGTGTCGCATCCGTCACCACCGCCGTCGTCGCTGTCGCCGGCCGCTGTCGTCGCCGTCGTCGTCGGTAGCGCTGGTGTGGGCGTCCGGCTCGCCATCTTGCTCCTGCTGCTGCTCCGTCAACTGTTGCTGCTCCTGCTGCTGCTGCCCTCCTCCGCCCTTCGCATCTTGCCCGTCATCTCTTCGCACGCCGCTCTTCCAGCTGCGCGCCCAAGATGGGCGAACGTGAAGGTTACGCGCAGTGAAGCGCTCACCATACGTAGCACATAGATAAGTTCGAACACGCCGTTCTCAAGACGAAGGCCGCCCAACTAGTGAGACAGGTCTAGGTGAGCAAGCGGGGAGGAGAAGAGCGAAACGAGCCAGGGGAAAAAAGGAGGGGGAAGACTGACAACCGAAACGCGGATGGAGAAACCCGTGAGAACGGGATTCGGCGCGGGCTCGCCCTCCTGCTTTCCCCGTCTCGACGAATCCCCAAACACCCTGCCCTCTCATCCGCCTCGTCTTAGCCTCCTCCCCTGCCGCTCCTCTTCCTGCTCAACTTCCTCCTCCTCCTCTTTCGATTCCTCTTCTCACCGTCGTCGTCCTCCTCCGCACTGTCCTAGCCAGTGGTTCAAGCCAGGCCCTCGATTCCTGCTCTGACCTCCACGTGATGCTTGAGCGGCCTGTGATAATTACTGTCTCGGTGGCGGGCGCAGGGCGCACAATCAATAACCAACTACTTTTTTTTCAGAGGTGGCATAGCTTTTTGGGATCATCGGTAGATTCGTGGTCACATCGCTCATCACTCAAGCGCATGCCAATATTCAATTGATGGGTGTGCCGTGCGGTGCCAGAATTTGAAATGTTTGGCAAATGCTCACATTAGTTATCAGGTGGCTACTGGGTCGAAGCCGTGTGGTTTGGTTCATTCGTTGGGCTCCTGTATGGTGCGTGTTCAGTTTCTGGTGCTGGAATCGGTGATGGAATTGGTACGCTGCAGCGTCAGCACGGGCTTCTCCACACATTCAGCTGATTTCGGTGGACTGGGCACTGAGTAATTGTGTTTGTTTTGGCGCTTGGGGGATGCCCTAAAGGCCTGAGGCGAGTGCTGGCGACAAGGCGCACTCCACGTCTCGTCTGTTGTTCTGTTCTCCATTTCTCACAGCCTGCCTGCCCCTCTCCCGCGCTGGAGTTCTGTCACTACTCCTGGGCGCTGGCTTCGGCGAGCGTCAGTGCACCATGACCTCGTGGACCACTTGGCTTGTCCCGTGGGACGGGCGGGTGGCTATCTCCACGTTCTGCTGGGCTGGTACTCGTTGTACGCGGTGAGCGTGCCATGCTGGTGTGCCCGGTCAAGATAGAATGATGTTCACGGACATGCTGCGAACACTTTCTACAAGCGGCGTCTGCTGCGTTTCTCGGGCTTCATATCGGCGAGCGGGAGCGGGGGCCTCAAGGTGTTCGTGTGAATCGGGCGGCACGCAACACTCTCCTTCCTGCCTGGGTCTGACAGATGCATTGGCCCATTCCCATTCCCAGTCCGTGTCGTCGTCATCACCCTCCTCCTCCTCCTCCTCCTCATCCTCGTCGTCTTTCTCCGTCTTCGAAGTGCGCTCAGCCATCCGCCGCACTTCACATGTAAGTCAGCGGCGCAGGGGTCCTCAAGCGCGAACAGCAGATGGAAGTGCGAATTGCGACCGAGCGCTGTCGACAGCGCAGCGAACAAGCGTCGTATGCTGCCAAGTGGAAGCGATGGGTGCGTTGGAGGAAGTGCAAGCCCAAAAGAAACATGCAGCGGCCAGCCACGCTTCACGCGCACACGCACGCACATCGCACCCCCCCCCACCCCGCCTCGTTCGTCAAGCCATCGCCCACTTGGTATTACCTATGGCCAGGGACGATGCGCGCCGCAGCTCTGCCTGGCCGCCTTGCCTGAGAAGCCTCACCCTTGTGCAGATCCAGGCTGTGCTGTCCGCGCCTTCTCGACGGAAGGGGGAGGATCGGAGGCTCACATCCAACAATCTCGACCCTCGACCCTCCTTCCTCGAGGAGTGGGAGGCGGCGATGGCGCGCCGCGCTCTCGTGCCGGCGCTGATGGGCCTGTTTTCCACCACCACCACCACCACCACCACCACCACCACCACCACCACCACCACCACCACCACCACCACCACCACCATAGGTTGGAGGGGGCGGGAGTCCTCCTATCCTCCTCCTCCTCCTCCTCCTCCTCCTCGTCCTCCAGGCCTTCCGCGGAAGATTCGCAGGGGTCCGAGCCTCGCGCGAACAAATCGCAACAGCCCAGGCCTTCCGCGCAGCGTTCGCGAGGATCCTGGCCTCCCGGAGAAAAGTCGCGAGATTCAAACCCGTCCAACCTATGGTGGTGGTGGTGGTGGTGGTGGAAGACAGGCCCCTCAGGCGCCCCCGCCCTTCTGCGGGAGAGCTCCTCCGTCCCTCGCCTCGGCGGGGCCGAGGCTCCCGCGAAAACCTCGCGAGGAGCTGGCCCGTTTTCTACCACCACCACCACAGGTTGGAGGTGGTGGCGGAAGGCAGGCCCCCCGGGCGCCCCCGCCCTGCTGCGGGAGAGCTCCTCCGCCCCTCGCCTCGGCGGAGCCGAGGCGCCCCCGCGAGAGAACCTCGCATGGTGCTGGCCGCCGTGGGCGCGGCCCAGGCCAGCGCTGCGAGGACCGCCACCGAGAGCCCCTGGAGCGCAGTCCCCTGCTGGGGGCAGAGCTCAAGTCGGGCCGCTCCCCCTGCAGGGGGGATTTTGGGCGAAACATTGCAAATACCCCAAGAAGCATCCTCCAGAGATGCTCAAGAATAGTAACAAAAACATCGTCCCCAGACTATTGTTTTACCTGTTTTTGAATATTCCTCCTGTAGAGGGACAGGCCCGACCTCAGGCAAAGCTGAGGAGGCACGCGCGTCTGGCTTCGTTGTCCTTGCCGCAGGTGTTGCGCCGAGACGTACCAGGTCGATCCAGCTGTGCGGCGCGCCGGCAAAGCCGTCCTCAGCGTCCGAAGGGATGCCTTCGTGAACTCACGCCATCTTGACCCCCAGCGTGTGAGGAAATGAGACCCAACACCACGCAGCCTGCACCCCCCCCCTCGAATTCAAGCGCAGGTTTTTCCCGCGACGTGGCGGCGCCCCAGGACTTCAAGATTTCAGTCTTCGCGCCGAAACTGGTGACTGCAGACACAAAAACCTGACCCCGCGGGCCGCGTTTCGCGCGTCGGCCAGCATTCATCAGGAGGGGAAAAACACACAGACACAATTCATCGTCGATTCCCATGAAAATCTGGGAACATGTGGGAAGTGGGGGGGAAGACAGAAGCCCAGAAAGTATGGGAAACCATGGGGCATCCTCTGATTGGTGTGTGCCTATTTGCGTGTCCCGGGGCCCCTTCAATGAAAAACATGCGCTTGACTTCGAGGAGGGCTCTGGCACCGCTGCGTCCGCTGCATCCCCGGCGGGCCCGCGGCACCCCGGGGCAGATCTTCCAGGCCGGCGTTTTTCGCGCGCAAGGGGGGTGCTCGCCACGGGTGCTCCCGGCGTGCTCCGAGACGTGCTGAGGCCCAGGGGTGCCTCCGGAGAACCCGAGGAGGCCCCACGATGCCTACACCCTGCGAAATGCTTAAGAAATCATGGGTTAAGAAATTCATAGTCTCAGAATTTGAATAAAACCCCCCAATTTCTACTAAAAAATTAGGTTTTCCATTGAAGCAATAAGAATAATCAAGACTCTGGCCGAAACCTTACGTTTTCTTAAGCATCGCCCAGGGTGTACAAGAGGCCCAAGGATGCTCACCAGGGGGCCCCAGGTGCCCTCGACGAGCGCACGAGAAAAGAGCCACCCGGACGCTGCCGAGAGGCCCCAAGATGCACCCCGAAAGGCTGCCCCGAACCCGGCAACGACGCAAGATGTATGGCAGAAGCTACCGATCGACTGCAGACTCGAACTGCTGAGGCTGGCGGCACGACTCGCGGGTACAAGAGATGGAGCAGTCAAACGAGAACGAATGCGAACATTCTGAAGGCGAGTGTCGTCACCACGCTACGAGGCGACGAGGCGCCCGAAGTGGAAGCTCTCGTGCTGGCTGATGGCGAGCCTGTCTGGGGCATGAAACAGCCAGGCATATGGACGGAAAGAGAAAATAGAGAAAGAGAAAAAGAAAAAGGGATAGAGAGAGAGAGGGAGAGAGAGCACGACATCAATTAGTTCGTAAGGTCTGGGGCACGTCACGTCGTACTGCTTTCGCACCGGGACCGTTCGACCACGCGTGACAATCTGAATGTTCGCAAGGTTCAGGATCACGGCTACAAGGATTGATTCTACCACCAAAACTCGCTGTGCCAGTTCGACCTTTCAACATGTGCCTCCTACAGGTGCGACTGTCGCTGCAGAGTTTCACCAAGTCAGTGCTTGCACAGTCAGAACTTGCACTGACGGGGTCTTAGCGGATCTTCAAAGAGTGGGCGAACGTGCGGCGCCGATTTCGATAGGCGGCCGGTTCTGGGTCGCCAGTGGGTTGTGGGGGCCGGTTCCGGTGGGCGGCCAAGTTTCCCGAATTCTCTGCTCCAGATTCGGAGGTCTCAGCGTTGTGAGATTCACGGGCCTTCGAATTCTTGGTTGCGGCGAGGCACCCAGATCCTTGAGACCACGGCCTGGGTGATATAGTATATTCTAAGGAGTGAAGAGTACACAACATATAGTAGGAGGGCGGAGTCGATAGAGAGTCCAGTTGGGCTTTTTGAGTATTCGCATATATTAGCCAGCGTGGACCCCAAACAATGTGATTCTAGCAATATATGTTGTGCAATCGATCTGGGGCAATCTATGCTGTGCACTATGTGTGGTGCAATCCATGTAGTTTTATCAACATTGTGCAATCGATGTGGTGCAGTCTAGGTTGAACAATATGTGTGGTGCAATTTACGCGGTGCAATCTGTGTGGTGCAACGTATGTTGTGCAATCGACGTGATGGAATACATGTGGCGCAGTACGTGTACACATATCATTCCGTATATGCGTATATATATATATTTATCAATGTATACTGCGATCGATGTGGCAAAACTTATGTACTCCAATCTATGTTGTGCAATGTATGTGGTGCAATCGATGTAATGTAATGTATGTGGAGCGATACATGTGATGCAAAACAGGTCGTGCAATATGTATGGTGCGATGTATGTAGTACAATTTATGTGGTCCACTCTGTGTGGTGAAATCTATGTAATGCAGCCGGTGTGCTGCACTCTATGGTGCAATCCATTCTGCTGAACTTGAAGTCGTCATCTCCACTGCTCGCGCAAACATCCCACCCACCCACCCCCAACTTGGTTTGCAAAACCTGTTAAGACCGACTACGACGACACCGACGACAACGACTAGGACGACACCGACGACGTCTCCGACGACTTCGACGACAACGACGCCGACGCCGACGACGACGAAGACGACGACGACGCCAACGAAGGCGGCGACGAGGAAGGAGGAAGGACGACGACGGCGACAACGACGACAACGACGACAACGACGAGGGAGGAGGGAGGACGGCAACGACGCGAACGACGAAGAAGGAGGAAGGACGGCGACGCCGACGACGACAGCGACGAGGGAGGAGGGAAGACGACGACGACAACGACGACGACGACGGCGACGAAATAGGAGGGACGACGACGAGACGCCGACGACGGACGACGACGACGACGACGTGGGAGGAGGAGGAAGGACGACCACGGCGACAACGACGACGGAAACGACCACGACGCCAAAGAGGACGACGACAACGAACACGAGAAAAGACAGAGGACGACGTAGGCGACGACGACGACGACGCGGGAGGAGGGAGGACGGCGACGACGACGACGACGACGCAAGAGCGCGCGCGCACGCTTTTGTTGAAAATCCGTGTTGCGAAACCTTGGGTGCTTGTAGGTTTTTTGGACGCACGATTTTGAAATCCTTCCGAAACCGATGGGTTTTGAAGGTTTTCGGCATACGCCCGCGACGACGCGCGCGTCTGCACTTCGTCTCGTTTTTTGCAGAGGATTCTCGCGACGGCACACGCGCAAGGGCGTTCGACAGATTTCGACATGCGCGCGCGCGAAGCCCGTTTGGTAGCAGTTCGTGAAACCCTTGAAACACCGATGGTTTTCTTAAGCTTTCGCAAGAGCTCGCGCGGACATTTTTTTAGCAAATCCGCGTTGCGAAACCATGTGTTTTTGTATGTTTTGGGAAACTCGATTGCGCAATCCTTCCGGCACCGAAGGTTGTCGAAAGACTTCGGCATGCGCGCGCGACGACGCGCGCGTGCGCACTTCGTCCCGTTTTTTTTTTTTTTTTTTTTTTTTTTTTTTTTTTTTTTTTTTTTTGCAAGGGATTCGTGAATAAGTGATATGTTAGAACAAAACATGTCACCGCATGATTTTCTTTTTTTCTTTTAACAACAAGGAACCTCAGGGGGGGAACCCGACCTGCCTGGCATGGTATGATTTCAGATTTAGGATGGACGAGTGTGCAGAATATGTATTTATACATATATATATATCGATATATATATGACACTATACTATCCCAGGGGGAAGCGATAAGTCCGGGGGCGGGGGGGGGGTAGAGTCAATTCTCTTTTTAGAAAAGAGGATATCTATATATATATGTGTGAAATTATACTATCCCAGGGGGAAGCGATAAGTCCGGGGGGGGGGGGTAGAGTCTATTCTCTCTCTAGAAAAGAGAATATAATATATATATATATATATATATATATATATATGTGTTGTGCGATCCGTGTTGTAAAATGTATGAATGCCATATGTGTTGTGAAACCACTGTTGTGCGATCTTTGTTGTGCAACGTCTGCGGTGCAATCGATGTGGTGCAACATAAATGCAGTGCAATGTATGTGGTCCATGCTATGTGATGCAGACTATAAGAGCAATCTGCGCGGTGCGATCTGTGTGGTGCACTTCGCCAGTGCTCAACTTGAACTTGTCCACTGCAATGCTCGCGCAATCACCCCACCCACTCCCGCAACGTAGTTGACAAAACCCCTGCTGCGGCGATTGCGATGAGTGTTTGGTGTTGCCTGGTGCATTTCTGCGGCCGCGCCAGCCCGCGCATGCACGCGCGCCCAGCGGCCAGCTAGTTTGGTGCGACCGACGCGGCCGCGGTGGCGCTGACCGCTGGGGCTCAGCTGCCACATCAGTGCGAGACGGCAATTTGGGCGGGCGCGGTATCATGGCAACGTCGACAACGGTAGACACGATGATGATAGTGGCGGTGTTGGTGACGATGTTGACAATGACGACGGCACGGCCAGTGACGGCGCCGATGCTGATCACGCCGGCGACGATGACGGCGTCCTCGCGTCGGTGGTGAAGGTTTTGGAAGGATTTCGGCATGCGCGCACGGCCGACGCGCGAGTGGCCCGCATAGTATTATTCGACACGGACCGTGTACCCCCCAGCACGCGCGCAAGAGCGTTCGGATGATATCGGCATGCGGCGCGAGAGGCTCCGATTGGCAGAATTTCATGACCATGTTGAAGAACCAATGGGTTTCTTCAGTATGCACAAGCGTGAGCGCAAGCTTTGTTGAACAACTACTGTTGCGAAACCATATGGTTTTGTATGATTCCGGGACAATCGATTTTGAATTCCCTGCAGAACAAACGGTATTTTGAAGGATTCCGGCATGGGCGCGCGACGACGCGCGCGCGTGCACTTCGTTCATTCTTTTTTCCAGAGGACTCTTGCGACAGCACGCGCGCAAGGGTGTTCGAACGATTTCGACATGCGCGCGCGAAGCCCGTTTACTAGGATTACCTGAAATATTGAAAACCTATGCCTTTCTAAAGGATTCAAAAGAGCGCGAGCGCAAGTTTTTCTTGTTGGCAATCCTTGTCGCGAAACCTTTTATCCTTGACGCTCGATTTTGCAATCCGCACGGAACCAATGTATTCACTCCGTTTGAAAGATTTCGGCATGCGCGCGCAACAACGCGCGCGCGTGCACTTCGTCCCGTTTTTTTTCTTGTCGTGTTTTTTTTTTCTCTTCCCAAGGAGTTCTTGACAACTTCTGATTTGTGATCAGCGAATGTGAGCGCAAATAGTTTTTTTGCAGAGGATGAGGGGGGTCGATGCCGGTTTAGCTGGGATGATGCGTAATCATATTTAGGATTGACACTAAGGCTGAACCGCATGTACATTGCAACGCGAAGCGGTGGCCTGTTAACACCAGGGTGGGTGTAGATCCTAATTCTCTTTCGAAGCAGGAATCTGCGTTGTGAGATCTACGTGGTACAATTGACTTTCGTAAACGAGTCGACGCGCCCCGTGCTTTTGCGAGCGTCCCACCCACCCACCCGCAACTTGGTCTGCAAAGCCCATGCGATGGCAATTGCGATGCATGCGTGGCGTTGGCTGGTGCATCTCTGCGGCCGCGCTAACCCTGGCGCGCGCGCAGCGGCCAGCTAGTTCGACGCCGCCGACGAGGCCGCGGCGTCGCTGACCACTGGATGCATCCCAGCGGCACTTCACTGTGAGTCGGCGGCTTGGGCGGGCGCGGTATCGCGGCAGCGCCGACGGCGGTGGACGCGACCATGATGGCGGCGATGCTGGTGACGATGTTCGCGCCGACGAAGGCGCGGCCAGCGCGGGGGCCGATGCGGATCGCGCCGACGACGACGGCGCCCTCGCGTCGGCGGTGGAGGTTGGTTTTGGAAAGACTTCGACGCGCGCGCGGCCGGCGCGCGAGAGCGGCCCGCGTGGTTTCATTGGACGCGGATCGTGCCCCCCCCAACGCGCGCGCAAATGTGCGCGAATGATGCCGGCGCGCGGTGCCAGAGGCCCGTTTGGCAGCATTCCATGAGAACGTTGGAAAACCAATGTTTCTCGTCAGAATTCGCGTAGAGCGCGCGCCCGGGTGTTTTTGAACAAAAAACTGTTAGCCATGTGTTTTTGCATGTTTTTTGTTTGACATTCGGTTCTGAAACCATTGCGAAACCGAAGGTTTTGAAGGCTTACGGCATGCGCGCGCGACGACGCATGCGCGTGCTCTTGCCTTCTTTATGCAAGAAAAATTCTCGCGACGGCGCGCGCGAGT